CCGCCGCCGCCGCCGCCGCCACTCGTCTTGTCCTTGCCCATGGGCAGGCCGGTCGGCGTCTTGTCGCGCGCCAGGGCCGAGCTCGGCGTCATCGGGCTCTTCTGCAGCGCGCGGTGGCTGCGGGGCGTCTCCTCCGTCTCACCACCTGGCCTGCCGTCGTCGAACCGCTGTCTCCGCTCCTTGCGCTGCCGTGACGAGGAGGCGGCGCCCTCCCGCGACGTCGACTGGTCGTCCAGCCGAAAATCGGCGTTGAGCAGGTGGCGCTCGCTGATGGCCTTGGGTGGAAGCGGCGGGCCCTGGATCGCAAACCGGTCCGGGCTGTTGAGCATCGAGTCGGGCCGGCTCTTTGAATCCGCCTGGCTGCTGCCGTCGCGGCCGCCGTAGCCGTGCTGGTGATGGTGGTGGTGATGCCCGCCCGACGTGAGCGGCGTGAGTCTCGGAACGCCGTTGGCGTTGGTGGGGAGGATGCCGCCCTGTCCGCCATTGCCCGAGGTGCGTCGGCTCAGCAGCCCGCCTGGGCTCGACCGCGACGAGAGCGACCCTAGCCCGCCGCCTGCGGATGCACTCCTCCGCCGGTCGGCAGGCGTGGATGCTCCAGAGTGGTTGGGGCTGTTGCTCCTCGTCACCGTCGTGCTCGTGTCGTCGATGTCAAAGTGCTCTGCCTCTTCCTCTTCCTCGCCGTCATCGTCGTCGTCGCTGCCGCTGCCCGAATCGTCATCGTCGTCGTCGTCGTCATCATCATCATCGACGCCGTGCTTGGTAAAGGCAACGCCCTTTGAGGCCGACTTGTGGCCGCCCTTGCTGTCGTCATTGGGCCCGGTATCGTGGCCCTCCTCGACGACGACAAACGACTTTTGCCGCTGCCGCTCGTTCCACTTGAGCGTCCGCGAGATCGACGAGAACCAATCGGTCGACTGATTCTCGGCACAGACGGTCGGGAAGGGATAGCGAGATGCCGTGACCTTGATGTGGTCGCCCTCTGTTGCAGATGAGTTGCGGGACACTCTGGTCAGCCTGCCTCTTTCACGAGACGCAATCCACCAAGGGAGAGTACGGAAGCCTTGGACTCACGCTTCAACTCGACCCGGCCGCGCCCGTCGAAGCTGGCCCAGGCCGTGCTCCTCGAGTTGTACGGCACCGCGATTCGCAGCTCCATGCTGTCTGGCAGCAGCATGGGCCGGAACGACAGCGTGTGCGGGCAGATGGGCGAGATGAGGATGGCAGGGATCTCGGGATGAACAAGGGATCCTCCGGCCGAGAGCTGGCGCGTACGCAAACAAGACCAGCGCAGTGTCGAAGTCAGCTCAAAGGACCGGGGTCCAAGACGTTCAAGAATGGGAGATCCAAACTTACAGAATAGGCCGTCGAGCCTGTCGGAGTCGAGATGCAAAGGCCGTCGGCCTGAGCCGTAGTCATGTGGTGCTCGTCGCCTGCAGCAGATGCGAAGGGCAGCGGCACTGTCAGCGATGTGGCTACCTTTCCTACGCGGCCCCAGCACGCGCATTGTGCGACTGCAGAAACTCACCAAAGACCTCGAGCAAGCTGACGTAGGGGCTGGGTCCGCGGTCGACGACGAGGTCGTTGAGCACCTCAAACGTCTCGACGGGACGCGTGCTGAAGCACATGATCTCCTTGTCCCGGCATTTCTTCTTCTTCTTCTTCTTGCCTTTCTTGGTCTCGTTGTCCCGCGGGCCCTCTTGCTCGGTATCACTCCGGTCGCTGCTCTGCGGTGAGCGTGGCCGCTCGCCCGACGATGGGTTAGGGCTCTCGATGGCGTCCCACCCGCAGTTCTTGACGTTGCGCATAATAATCTCGCCGGTCTTGCCAGATTTGATGGCACGGCGGCGGTACCGGTCGGCGCTCGACGAACTGGGCAGCGTTGCGCGCTGCGGATGATGAAGCACGAGGTGCTGACGGATCAGCGACGGCGTAACTGGCAAAGAGGCACGCCTCGCCTCGTCCACTCACGTAGATTGTGGCGGTGAAACGCATCCGCAGGTTGACCCGGATGCCGTCATCGAGGGCCGAGGTCATCACCTCCTTGTAGCGGGCAAAGTCGAAGTTGGTCAAGAAGCCGAGCGAGCCGAGCGCGAACGGCAGCACGGGTGGCACGATCCGCTGGAAGAGCCACGAGCAGAAGAGGACGGTGCCATCGCCGCCCAGCTTCGACGAGAGAACGAGACGATGCGAGGTGCAGCGGGTGGGCATCGGAACGAGTCAGAAAGCGCCGAACAAACATCTTTGCCACGCCACAGCTTCCACCTACCGTCACGACAAAGTCAAAGAGGTGCGGAGATCGGCTGCACATGTCGCTGGTCCAGTATCGCAGTTTGCCCTCCTGACGCGGGAAGCCGCTGCCGCTGCTGTCGTAGCCACTGGCGCTGGAGAGCGAGCTCGAGATGCTGGCGGTGCGCTTGGGACGCATGTCAAAGAGCTTGGGATAGTCGCGCCGGATGCCCTCGGCGTCGAAGCGCTTCGACTTCTGCAGTTGCGAGTCGACGTAGACGACGAGGCCGGTGTCCTTGCCGTTGCGCGGCGTCGTCATGAGCCAGATGGCCAGCTCGCGGGTGAGCTTGATGAGGTGGTTGTCGCGCGCCTTTGTGATGATGAGGACGCTGTGGATGGTCGACTTGACGCGGGCGCGGCCGAGCTGCTTGCTCATCTCGCGTACGCCGACGGCCGTCTCGGCGAGCTGGTGGGTGAGGCTGCGCACCTTGTCGTCGTCCTCGTTGCTGGCGTAGCCGTAGGAGCTGTCGTACGACGAGTCGCGGCCATCGAGCGAGTCGAGATCTTCGTCGCTCAGGCTGTTCGGGGTCCTGGGCCGTGCAGCGGCTTGATCCTGCCCGTGCCGATCCCGGACGTCGGTGGCCGTAGCATCGCTGCCCGAGAGCGTCTCGTCATCGCGAGCGCCCCTTGCGCTGCCGCTGCCGCTGGCGCTCTGTCGCTGCTGCTGCTGCTGCTGCTGCTCAGGGATCGAGACCGATGCGGACTTGGACGTCGAGGGGGCGCCGCTACGCTGTTCGTCGTAGGTGGCGGGATCAAAATAGGATGCGGTGCTGGCGCTGCCGACCGACGAGGTGGGCTGCGGCATGGGGGTTTGGTCTATGTCGCGAGGCTCCTCGGAGCAGGATGAAGAGGTGGTGTCGCCCGCCTCTTGGTCGGTCTTTGGCGCGCGCCGCTGCGACGGCTGGGAGCGGGTGGTGGAGCGGTGACGAGACTTTGCGTCCTTTGACAGGCGTCTCCGCTGCTTCTTGAGAGATTCGCCGAGATTGACGCCCTTGTCGAGATAGGAGTGGACATAGCAGGGGCTGCTGAGGCCTGCGCTGAGCGACGGTTCGGGCTGGACGTTTGCCTCGTGGACGAGCGCGTGGGTGGGATTCTTTGGCGCCAGGTGTTCGCGAGCGGAGGCGGCATCAGGGGCGGCGGTGGAGGTGCTGCCGCTGCTGGCTGCATCGCCGCGAGTGACGGCGGCGTCGGTCGCGGCGGCTACTGGGGGCTGCCCTGGGCTGTGGGAGTGGGCTGTACTTGCCATGGCCATGGTGGCCGAGGCTGTATCGGAAGGGTTGGACGCAGCGACAGTGGGGACCGTCTGTTTGGAAGGGTCGAGGAGATGAGCGAGCGCGTTGGGCGGAGCCTGGCCAGCGGCTGCGTTGCCGCTGTCGCTCATGGCAGTGAGAGCCCCGCTGTTCGGGAGTCGAGGGAAGCGGGTCGAGATGGACGATCAGATGGCAGTTGATCGACAGCGTCGGTGGTGGTAAGACGGTGCTGCGGGCGGCCTCGAGTCTAGTGAGGAGATGGATATGCGGTGCAGCCAGCTGGTGTGGTGCGATGCAGGGGTAGCGATGGCCGCAGTGGCAGAAGGTCTCCCTGGCGGCGTCTGCAGCGGTGGTGATGATGGTGGAGGAGGCGGGTGATGGCGCGGAGGACGCTGAGTGGTCGCGGAAAGGGCCAAGCCGTGGGTCGGGCCGTTGGTTAGCTACGTTGCGTTGCCGAATCGAGCCGGCCTCTTTCGGGCTGCGTGCCGCTCCACGTTGACCCTGCCCTGTCAGGTCAGGTCTGGCCTGGCCTGGACAAGCCTCGCCAGGCCCTGCGGACGGGCCACGGGTTGGCCTCTTTGGGCGGCTTGTCCGACTTCCGAAGCGCCCTCTGTTGCCCTGGCTTGCTTCCAGGTCACCCCCCCAGCCCGCAGGGCGCCGTCGAGGGGTGCACACAACCGGGCGAATTCTCCGGCCCTCGTCTGTCTTGGCACCCCACCACCTCGACGCCCTGCTTGACCATCATCGCAGTCATTATTATCGTCATCCTATCCCTCGCCCGCCTTGCTCCCTCTTCGGCACGACTCCGACGCCGCGGCACTCTTCCGCCGACCGACTTCGGCCGCTTCCGATCCAGCGCCTGACCGCCTGGCCGCCCGCCGACCCTGCCTGCGCTCGGCCGCAGCGTCGGACCCTTCCTGTCCCCACTCGCGAGCGTCGCGTCGCTCCTGCGCCCAATGAGCAGTTTTGGCCGCTCATTGTCCAAAGAGGTGCCAGCATCGCCGTCGCCGTCGTCGCAGTCGCCAGCGCGTCCAGGTCCACCGGGGCGTCACTACAAGGCTCGCTCCATCAGCCGCGCCAGCCTCGACCTCTCCAACTCGGAACACGGCGCCTTTCTCGGCCAGACCAACCTCGACGACCTCGACGACCCGCCCTCGTCGTCCTCTGCCTACCCTCCTCCCTCTTCCGCCGCCAGCCTCGGCCGGACCGCTTCCCGACGAAGCAGGATGCCTCTCGGACCCAAGCGCCTCGCCTTCTTCCTCCTCGCCGCCGTCGGCCTCGTCTGGCTGCTCGGACCCACGCAGAGGAGGCAGGACGTCACCACCTACGTCAACGACAAGGCGGGCCAGGTGCTCGACAAGACGCCGTGGCGAAGACCCGGAAACCTCGGCCTCGCAAACGATGCCACCGACATGCCCCCACCAAACTCGCCCGGATTCGTCCCGCCCGCTTCGTCGTCGTCGTCGTCGGCCCAGCCGGGCGCAGTCCGAGAGCGGCCTCCGCTGCACCCGGACCCGCTCAAGACGACCCGCTGCGACGAGAGCAGCCGCCTGGCCAAGCCCCACGACGCAAAGGGCAACGTCCGCCCGCTGGTGCAGTACGCCGTCATGATCGACGCCGGGAGCACGGGCAGCCGCGTGCACGTGTACAAGTTCAACTACTGCAGCAACGCGCCCGAGCTCGAGGACGAGTACTTCAACCTCGTCATCGGCGGCCTCTCCAACTACGGCACCCAGCCGTCGGCCGCCGCCGACTCGCTGCGGCCGCTGCTGCAGAATGCCCTCGAGCGCGTGCCCAAGCAGCTCCATGGCTGCACCCCCATCGCCGTCAAGGCCACCGCCGGCCTGCGCCTGCTGCCGGGCGAGCAGGCGCAGCACGTCCTCGACGCGGTGCGCACGATGCTCGAGACCGAATACCCCTTCCCCATCGCCGACGGCAGGGACAGCCGCGGCCAGCGCGCCACAAAGGGCGTCGAGATCATGGAGGGCAAGGAGGAGGGCGTGTTTGCCTGGATCACGGTCAACTACCTCCTCAACCGCATCGGCAACAGCCAGGGCCACGAGGCAGAGACGGCCGCCGTCATGGACCTCGGCGGCGGATCGACGCAGATTGTCTTTGAGCCCGCCTTCACCACGGCCTCGCAGGGCATGCAGCCGGGCGAGCACGTCTACCAGCTCAAGGGTGAGTGCCGGTAGGGCGGCTGCGGCGGGCAAGCAGCGTCGCAAGCAGCGACGGCCAAGCTATCTGGCCAGCAAAGACTGACTCTCGGTGTCCGCCCCGATCTTTCTCTCTCCTTCTCTCCCTCCCTCCCCTCTCTACCCTCTCTTCTCTCCCCCTCTTTCCTCTCTTCCCTCTCTCCGTGACCGCCCGCCCGCGCCGCGCAGACTTTGGCGCCCGCTCCTTTACCCTCTACCAGAATTCGTACCTGGGCTACGGGCTGATGCAGGCGCGGCAGTCGGTCAACTCGCTGGCCGCCTTCACCTACAGCCTGGCGCACCCCAACGCGGTGCGGACGGGATCGGCGCACACGGCGGCGGATGCGGGACCGCTGGACTGGTCGGCGATGACGCCGGACAACACGCGGATCCCGTCTCCGTGCTTTGCGGCGGGCAAGACCAAGGCGGGCACCATCACCCAGCCGGGGCGGGCGGACCGGGCGAGCGTGACGTTTGTCGGCACCGAGGGTGGTTTCGCCGCGTGCCGCCGCCTGGTCGAGGTCATGATGGACAAGGACGCCGTGTGCTCGGCGCGTCCCTGCTCGTTTGCGGGCGTCTACCAGCCCTCGATGATGCAGACCTTCCGCACCGCGCCCATCATCGCCCTGTCGTACTTTTACGACCGCCTGCAGCCGTTTGGCCTCGCGCCCGAGTTTCGCATCGACCAGCTGGCCAAACTCGCCGAAAAGGTGTGCGCCTACCAGCCCGACGCGACGGCGGGGCGAGGGGCGGGTGAGTTTTCGGCCGAGGCGCAAAAGGAGCTCGAGGACCGGCCCGAGACGTGCCTCGACCTCACGTTCATGCACGGCCTGCTCAGCCTGGGCTACGAGCTCGATGGCGACCGAAAGGTGAGCATCGCCAAGAAGCTCGGTGGCACCGAGCTCGGGTGGTGTCTTGGTGCGCAGCTCGCCGTACTCGAGGAAGAGGGCCTGCTGTGCAAGGCGCCCACGCCCGGTGCGGCTCTGTCGGGCGGCTCGCCGCTCCTCGCCCCTGCGGCATAGAACTCCCAGTCCGCCCGGATCGGATCGGATCGGATCGTAGAAAGGGGCGAGGGTGGGTCGTCGATAGAGAAAAAGAGGTCGTGATGCCATGCCATGTCGTGTCGTGTAGATAGACTTGTCCGCGCTCCTTCGTGCTCTGCACATCTGCAACGAGTCGTCACTTCTTTGTCGTCTGGCCCAGTCCGGATGCGTGTTCCGCCGCAGCTGTTGGCGTTGCAGGCCAGGCGTGGCAAGAAGAGGCAAAGGGGCGGACGGCGCGAGCGAGTCAGAAGTCTGCGTCTACTCGAGTCTGCTGCGGGACAGGGCAGGACTGGTCCGCCCGTCGAGCCTGGAGTGGAGTGGAGTGGAGTGGAGTGGAGTGGGACTCACCCTGGATCGTCCTTGCGACCGTGGAGCGTACCTTGCCGTCTTCGAGGTTGAGCAGGCCGGCGATGGTGCACCCACCGGGAGCTGTTGCGAGCGCGATAGAGAGAGGTCGCGAAGGGGGGGCAAGAGAGGAGGACATTGAGCCGCGGTGCTCTTTCCCGATCGACGACCTGGGCGCTGGCTGACGGACTCACTCGTGACGCTGTCCTTGATCGCGGCTGGGTGCATGCCGGACTGCATCACCATCCTCGCCGCGCCCTGCATAGCTGTTCCATCGACGGCCAAAGTTCGGCGATACAATGCCCTGGTCATCATTAATGCCCCGGCGGAACCGCTCCATCGAGGCAGCAGTAGCAACAGCGAGAGAGGGGTGGCGACGACCTCGACTCACTCTGTGCGGCGAGCTCCAACGCCTCGGTGCGGGGCAGGCCCATCATGACGCCGCCGTCGGCCATGGCCTCGAGGAAGACGCAGGCAAACGCCGGTCCGGAGCCGGCGAGGGCGGTGCAGGCGTCAAAGTGCTTCTCGTCGAGGAAGCGACACTTGCCCACCGCGGAAAAGATCGAAAGGAGGATGGAGCGATCCAGCGCCAGCGTCGGCAGGTTGGGCGGCAGGGGCGAGAGGATCGTCATGCCCTCGCGGATCTGGGAGGGGTTATACGAGCGCACGAATGTCGGTCACCGTCAGCGAAAGAGCGAGGGCGAGAAGAAGGAAAAGGCGAAGCCACTGGCCGGCCTACTCGTACCTTGCAGGGCGTGTTTGGCATGGCGCGGACGACCTTTGTCCCGGGCGTGACCCACTCGCGCATCTGCTGGATCCTCAGCCCGGCACAGATGGAGATGACGAGTTTTCCATCGACGGCGTCGCGCATGCCGTCTTCCTCGAGGATGTCCTTGACCATGTTGGGCTTGCAGGCGAGTATGACGACGTCGGCCTTTTGCGCCGCCTTGACGTTTTCGCCGGCGCCGGCGACGACGTCGACGTCGGGGGCGTTTGCGAACGTCTTGCGGAGGCGGCGGACCGACTCGGTGCGGTTGACGCAGGCGATGAAGCGCGAGGGCAGCTGCGTCAGGTCGTCTTCGTCGGTCGCCGTCGTACCTGGCTTGGAGAGAGAGGCAACCGACGACGAGAGCGAGGCGGCGTTGGAGCTGAGGATCTGGCGCTGCGAGTCGAAGACGCCCGAGAGGATGGCGACGCCCATGGTGCCGCAGCCGATGACGGCGAGCGTGTAGCCCGACATGATGCGAGGTGGTGCGGTCGGCGGGGGGCGGGGGCGAGTGGCGAGTGGCGAGTGGTGCAGGAGCAGAAGAGAGCGAAAGGCGGACGAGATGGTGCTGTCTAGTAGTGTAGTGCGAGTGAGGGATGGTGGGGGTTCGTGGTGGAAGCCCGAGCGGAAAGGCAGGCCAGAGGCAGCAGTAGGGGTCCAACTGGCGGGTGGCCCCGGCCTCAGAAGAAATGCAAGCCGAGCCGGGCTTTCATGCCTCGGTCCCCCCTCGGGCAGACACACGTACGGCTGGCGGGTATGCCAGGGCCACGCCAGCAGGGCGCCGTGACTCGAACCTCGCCCGCCTCGCTCCGCCTCGAACACGATCATACAAGCACGTACGGCCACCACCGGATTCTGTTTCCATCATCATGATTCCATTCAAGCGTCGCCCAAACAAGGCGAGTCATACAGAAGCAGAGCGGAGCAAACGCCGCGCCGCGTTGAAAGAAAGAGAGAGAGAGAGAGAGAGAGAATGTCCCCTATTGAAAGTGAAAGTGAGATCAAAGCTGGGACGCCTCGACTGACGGGATGACCATCGAGGCGTGAGTAGAGCGTGGGGTTCGGGTTTCATCTGGCGCCATTCCGTAAGCCCAGACGACGTGGGCATCCCCCCCCGACCCTCCGGGACCGTCATCGAGCCCAACCCGTGAGGGAAGGAACGACGAGGGTCCAGAAGGAGAGAGGGGGGGATGATGGAGGTCGATGAGCAAAAAAATGGCGCGGAGGTGGGTGTGGGCAAGGGAGGGGTTGAGGAAGGAGGGGATGCACAGGCGGGTGTCGCAGCGTAGCGAGAGCTGTCGTGTGGATCTGCATCGATTGCGAACGGCAACGCAGAGGTCGAGAAAGGGCGGAGAGATGGTGGTGTTGGTGGTGGTGAAAAGGAAACGAACGGCTCGACGACCGCCGGTTTTCTACCTTTTTCTCCCTCTCGCCGGCGGGCAATTTCGATTTTCTCGCCGGCCGGCTTTTCTCCCGTCTTCGTGGCTGGCCCGCGCGCCTGCTGCGGCGACCCTGCTGCGCGCCACCACCACCCGCAACCACACACCCTCGTATCGCCTGGATGCGACTGCCATCGATGTTCAAACAGATTGCCGTTGGAAGACGGCTCCGACCGCCGCAACAGAAGCAGCTGCACTACGACTACATTCCGCGCGACGCCGCCTCACTGGTAGAAGTCCATCTTGCTGTCGTCGGGCTTCTTGACCACCTGCTTCCACGCCTCCTCGAAATCCTCGGGCATGATGACGTAGCGGTTCTTGCGCACCGCCTGCAGGCCCGCCGCCTGGCAGATCGACGAGATCTCGGCCGACGACAGCTTGTCCGGACGGCCCACGTAGTCCTCGAGGTCCACCTCGGGCGACAGGTTCATCTTGCCGCAGATGGTCTGGAAAATGAGCCGCTTCTCGCGCCGACTCGGCACCGGGAACTCAATCTTGCGGTCAAGTCGGCCCGGCCGCAGCAGCGCAGGATCTAATGTGTCGGCACGGTTGGTGGCCATGATGACCTGCGGAGTGGGGCGAAGGGACAGAGACAGACATGGGGATAGAGGGAGGGAGACAGACGATGGCCGAGAAGGTGGCGGAGGAGGGCGTCGACGTCAGCGGCGGTGTTCTCGTGCTGCGAACGCAGATTTTCACACGCCCAGCTGGTCGACCCGCTGCGCTACTCACCTTGACGTTGCTGCCCTGGTCGAAGCCGTCCATCTGGTTGAGCAGCTCGAGCAGGATGCGCTGCACCTCTCGGTCCGCGCCCGTCTGGGCGTCGAAGCGCTTGGTGGCGATGGCGTCGATCTCGTCGATAAAGATGATGGCGGGCGCATTCTCCCTCGCCAGCCGGAAGACGTCGCGCACCATGCGCGGTCCCTCGCCGAGGTACTTTTGCACAAATTCGGAGCCGACGACGCGGATAAAGGACGCCGTGGTGGCGTTGGCCACGGCCTTGACGAGCATCGTCTTTCCGGTTCCGGGCGGGCCGTAGAGGAGGACGCCGCGCGGTGGGTCGATTCCGATCTGGCGGTAGAGGTCAAACTGGACGAGGGGCAGCTCGACGGCTTCGCGGATCTCCTGCTTCTGGATGTCCATACCGCCAATGTCGGCGTAGGTCTCGGTGGGCTTCTCGTCCTTGCCGAGCATGGCGATGCTCGAATCGGCCTCCGGGGGCAGGACGTCGACGAGGGCGTTGGAGTGGCGGTGGAGGGCGACGCTGCTGCTGGGCTTGAGCAGCTCGCGGTCGATGGTCGAGAGGATGCGGACGACGTAGTTTGAGCCAGTCGTGGAGCCGACGATGCCCGTGTGCTGGTCAATGGGCTCGAGGAACTGGCCGATGACGAGGGGCACCGACTGGATGCGCTTGACCTCTTCCTGTGCGCGGACCAGCTCTCGCTTGAGGTTCCTCTGCTCGTCTTTCTGTGGTGGATGTGCCGACGGAGGTCAGGGAGCGGAGGGAACGGGTGGAACACAGGTGTGTCGTGTCAGCGGTCAGGACGCCCTGTTCGACGCAAGATGGATGGCGGGGGGAGGGGGAGCCGGAGTACGCACGACATAGTCCTCCATGGTGTTGAGGAACTCGAGGTGCTGCTGGAGCTTCTTGAAGCGGAGGTAGGTGTCCTCCTCCTGCTGCATCTGGTGGTGGAGGGCGGCCTTTTCGGCGGCGGCAGCCTCGAGCGTGGGCTCGGAGCGCTTGAGCGATGCGATGCCGAGCTCCTCCATGGTGGGCGATGCGGACGGTGCCGAAGAGAGAAGCGGGCTGGAGTGCTAGGGCCGTGGCCCAGAGGTGGCCAGGTGGTCGATAGAGATGGCCTGTTGGAGCGGGGTCCGCGTGTGGATGCTGTGTGGCAGGTGTAGCTTAGCAGGCGGCGGTGTGCTGTGCCACTGCAAAAGGCGAGGCGAGGTGATGTAGCAGTCGACAGCGGAGGGGAGGTCGGCGAGAGGAGGGGGGTGGTCGGTGGTGTTGATCCGGGTGTTGGTGGTGGCCAGCTGGGAACCAGGAGGGCGGGGCAGAGGGTCGGTGCCACACCCGCCCAGCTGAGGCCGCGTGTGGAGCAGGCCGTGATCGACGTCGGGCCTGCCCCGCTCCACACTTCGGCACGAGCAGTCGTGCACCCTTGGCATCGGCCAACGACTCCCGATTCCTGGCAACGACCCCCTCGCCCCCGATTCATGCAACCCTCGGGCTTGGACCCTGGCTGGCCTGCGCTGGCCACGCGCCCAAAGGGTATTTAGAGCTCGAGCGCTACAGAGCGGCGCCCAAACGGGCCCCCTGGCACCTCTCTCTCCCTCTTGACCTGGCTAGCGGCTCTTCTGCCACTTGGCTGCCGGCACACGACTTGGCTCGAAGCGCAAGCCTTGCCTGGCCTTGCCCCTGTCCCTCACCTCGACGACGACCCTGGCCAAGCAGCGATACCTAGCCAGGTCCTGGGCCGCCACCTTCCCGCCTCCCGACCACCGCGCACTGGCCCCACTCCGCTCAGCTCGTCGGCCCAGCAGACGCGCTCTTCCGCCCACCAACTTCCACGCCTGACGTCTCGGCCCTCTTTCTTTCTGGCGCTCGCCATCGAGAGCATACACCGAGCCATGGCCACGCCTACCGCCACCTGAACCTGTCTAGCCTGCTGGCAGTCGTCGACGTACCCAGCCTTCCCGACTTGACATCGCCGCATCCCGCCGCCCCCGCTGCCGCCACCTCTCTCGCCGCCACCCTCACCGCCACTCCTCTTTCGTCATGGCGCGCGGAAAGACCAAGCTGCGCAAGGCGGAGCGCGCGTCGCTCGTCGTCCCCGCAGCCAAGGTGCACTCCACCGCCGTCCCGTACAATGCCTGGGACTGGGGCGCCAAGCCCTCGTCGCTGCTCCGGCCCCGCGACTCGCACCACGACAAGGACAACTGGGACGTCAAGTACTGCAAGCATCGCGACCTCGACCCTCGCCAGATGAGGCGTACGAGGCAGCTGTTTTCGGAGCTCTTCTGCACCGCATTCAGGATCTCCGTCGGCCCGGTCTACCGCGCCGTGGTCCAGTTGTAAGCACTCTGCGATGCAGTCTCGACCCGGCGGCATGTGTCGGTGGCTCACACGACATAGCCTTCATCGGTTCCCGTCTGCCGCATGGCATGCAGCGTCCAGGACGAAATCTCAAAGTCCCTCGTCGCCGAGCTCGGGACGGCGGGTTCCAATGCCAAGGTGAGCCCCTTCCCTCCAGTCCCTGTCATTTCTGATCACGCCAAGGCATGAGGGGCTCTGCTGACACCGCCGGGTCTGCACCTCCCTCCACGCTTTCTGTGACTGCAGGGCCGTGGTGACCCTTCAGAGGCTCCGGCTCTGCAAGAGACTGTCCTGCGGCAGATCGACCTGTTCTGCCGAGAAGAGCTGGCCCCCAACGTCCTCTCCCTCGCCATTGAAGACGCTTTCGAGCTGCTGTGCGACATCGTGAGTTGCCGACCCCTTGTCGTCTGCATGTCGTTTCAAGCAGACCCCGTCGATTGTGGCTGAGCCCGCACCGAGCGCGTGTCCACAGGCGGAGCAACATGGCAGGAACCTCAGAGTCTGGGGCCCTCCCTGCGCCTGCCTCTTTTCGCGCTGCCTCCCATGCCTCGAGCGCCTGGTCGAGGCGATCAAGGCAGTGCCGCCCATGCCAGCCGCCAAGTTCAGACCGGGCGAATCGCCCCTGCTCCAACAGCGCGTCAAGGCGTACAAGCACGTCTTGGCCCACACGCCTCCGCCCACCTCTGGCGGCAAGGAGCAAGCCGCAAAAGAGGGGAGCAGCCGCGATACGCGCGATCCGAAGGCGAGCTCGGAGGTCAAGTCAGCCTGGAAGGCGCACGGCGCGTCGGTCTGGGCAAAGATGCAGTCACAGATCTGGCAGCATGCGAGCAAGACTGACCCGCTCGCGATGCCCGAGGTCAAGGCGGTACTCGAAGCGCTGCGCAAGCTCGACGGCCTCGAGCTCTACTACAAGGTCCTGACTCACGACACGATGGGAAAAGCCCACCGCAAGGACCTCATCTCGGAGCGCAACGGCGTGGTCTACCTCCGCCTGAGCGACCACTATGAGCGCATGAAGGCGGACAACCAGACGAGAGACGGCAGATCCGCCACCAAGAACGGCACCGGCTGGGGCGCCGACGACTGGACCGGCGACGAGTACCGCAAGGCGCACGCTCGCGTGATCTGGGAGATGGGCAACAAGGCGTACGCGGCATCGCGCTTCTCGGAGGCCAAGAACGAGTTCACCTTTGCCAGCGAGTTCGACCCGACCGAGCCCGTCTACCGGCTGAACCGCGCTGCCTGTGGCGTCAAGCTGAAGCAGTTTGCCGACGCCGAGCGTGACTGCACGGACTCGCTCGCGCTCGACCCGACCAACTACAAGGCCTACTTCCGCCGGGGCATCAGCCGAGCCGCACTGAACAAGCTGGAGGAGGCAAAGCGAGGTGAGCCGGATCCGAACTGTGATGTGCCCACAGCGAGCCGGAACCAGACGCTGATCTGTCCCCGACCCACACGCCCGTCTGCCCTGCTCCCACTCCCAGACTTTGACGAGGCCCTGCGCTTGGAAAAGGACCCGAAGCTGCAGGCCGAGCTTCGCAAGCTCAGCGAAGAGGCTCTGAAACCGTCCAAGCCCAAGCGCGGATCTCAGCCGGTCCAGGAGGACCCGACGGTTCAGAAAGACGTCATCGCCAGCATCTCGATCGCACCCGAGGCGGCATCGACGGAAGGATCGACGAATGGCAAGGCCGTCACCATCACCACCACCAGCGGAGTCACGGCCACCATCCCATGCGACAGCACCGTCAGCAGCAAGGGCATCGACAAGGGCAAGGGCAAGGCCAAGGATGTGGAAGAGCTACCGTCGGCCAATGAGATCCCGGACGCCAGTCTCGAGTCGTCACCTGCCACGTCGACGCGGCCGGCCGGCAAGATTATGTTTGGGAGCATCGCTGCCGTCGACGACGCGGCCACGACGAACAACGCTGCCTCGACGAGCGCGGCAATGTCGCCGTCCAGCACGTGGGGAAGTGCGAGTGCAGGCACGAGCGCTTCCAGCAGCCGCAGCTCTGCCTTTGGCTCGCCGGCCACAAGCTGCGTCGACGTTCCGGAGGCTGGCCCTTCGGATGCGTCCACCAAGCCGGCGACCGGGCTCGGCCTGCTCGACTCAGCAAAGGTCGAGACCGTGTCGTCTTCAATAGGCACGGCGCTGAAGGCGGACTCGGGCTCCGGTGCGTCTGCCATGGTCACTGACGCCAAGCCCCAGGCAGGATGCAGCGCGGCGCCTGCTCGGCCCTCTCGAGCGTCCAAAGCCGGCACGCAGCCGGCGTCGAGCCTCCCGGCTGGCCTAAAGACGTCGACGAAGCGATCGGCGACTGCCCAGCTCCACCACACGGGATCGGGACGCACGGACGGCCAGCCGAACGGAGGCGAGCTCGGTGCCGCCGTCGCCGCGCTGGAGCCCGAGGTGACGGTGCTCAAGTCGCGGCTGAATGCGCAGCGGGAGCTGGTGGCGTGGTCGACGCGGGCGGTCGAGGTGGTGAGCCAGGTCGAGTTTGCGCGGTGCTTTGGCATGGTCGTCGAGCGCGAGACGGGCGTGCCGCGCCAGACGTGGATCGACGGTGAGCTGGCCAAGCTCGTCGCCTGGATCCGGACCTATGTCGATGAAAAGCGCGAGGAGCTCCAGGTTGGCAACCAGCGCAACCGCGCGGTGGGAAGGTGACGGACGGGCGGGCTAACAATCCCGGTGAGAAAGGGGAGGTATGACGTGCCTTTGTCACGAAGGAGAGGAAGAGAGGGGAGGGATCCGAAAACACGGCATCAGCAGCAGCAGCATCGACAGCATCAGCATCGTTCCTCGGGGCGGCCATCTTCGCTCGTCCCCGTCAAACCACCAATTGTACAACAGCATCGCATCAGCCTTGATCCAAAACGGGGGCAGTTCGGGAGGCATCTACGCGACGCGACGCCCATACGAATACGAATACGAATCCGTACGGCGCAGCATCCCTTCGCCATCCATCAAAGTGACTTGTCGAGTCGAGTCGAGTCGAGTCGAGTCGAGTCGAGTCGCGGTCCGTTTGTACGTTCGAGTTTGGGTTTCGACGTGGTCATAGTCGGAGGTGAGTCCGATGATCCCATGATAATCTGAAGAGGTCCATCTCTCGCCGCCTGATGCCGGGGTGCGATTCCTCCCCTCCCCTCCACCCCTTTCATCTTGTTCCTCTCTAGATCACCTCGATCCGAATCGCTGGACCGGAGAGCAAAGTAAGAATGCCATGATGTTACAGATGTGCGAGCCTCGATCAAGCGGTGAGGCGAGGCGAGGCGAGGCGAGGCGACGGAGCGAGAGAGGAGAGGGGAGAGCTAGAATACAGCAAGCAAGCATCGTCGATCCGCAAGGGGGCCGCTGCTGACGACGCGACAAGGACAAGGGCGGAATCTGCCGAGCAAGGAGAGCGCAGTGCAGTGCGGGCGGCCGGGGCGGTGCGGGGCCTACTCGAATTCGTCCTCGAACACCATCTCCTCGTACAGCTCGCCCTCACCCTCGCCGCCGGCACCGTCGCCATCTCCGTCTTCGAAAAAATCGGATGGCGAGACGGTCCGCCGCTGCTCTTCCGCATCGTCGTCGTCGCCGTCGTTGTCGCCGACCTCTTCATCGCTGCCCTCCTCCGCCTTGATGCCAACTGCGGACGGCAGATCATGTGCAGTGAGCGCGGTGGACGCGGCTGCCGCCGCCGCCGCCGACGACGCACCGCTCGGCCGCCGAGGCAGGCCGAAGCCCGGACAAG